AAATGGTGAGGGGTTGCTGCATGAATGTATTTCTAGTAACAATATAACATTGAATTTGACAAGAAGGCCATTGTCTTTATTTCAATTTCCTCATGTATGGAGAAAAAACAAACATTACATGACACACAGTTACACAAAATGACTGAGACATAACTATGCTTCATGTGTGGGTGAGTGTTCATCACAAGATGATAAACATTAAACAGTTCATCAAGTGTTGCTAATATATTGTTTTTTCTATTAAAAGTTTGAAATATTTATTATAAATTAATAATGACTTATTGATAAATATTTAATGTTGTAGTTACCAGTATATATTACAGTACATACCAAGTCTGTGAGGGAATATTGCAAAATTTAACACCAAATTGTACAAATAAATATACACTATAAAAACAATCAAAACAAAGTAATACCTTTTTATTCCAAGTACAACAGATCTGATATCAGAAATGTATTAAACGATGATATTACCAGAAGAAATATCAGGATTTATTTGGTATTTTTATCACAAAGATATTCCAGTGTTTGGATGAGCGAGTTTTGATTTTTCACCACAAAAATCACGTGACTGTCTGTGAAACAATTCAAGTATTCCTTGGCGTGCATAGGAAATTCCTCAGTTTTCCTGACATTTCAACCTTACGGGGGGTGAGTTAGTGTTCAGTGTTTCAGGATTAATTAGTCTTAGTATTAAGATTACCTTTGTTAATTGTTAGTATTGCTGATTGTCCCGGAAATATTTGTTCAACTTATATATGATATACAAACAACATTTTTTTCTCCTGCGCATTAAATCACAAACTGAGTGGAGCCGCCAAGCAACCCAATAATTTCAATAATTGCTTTTCATGTTTCAAATTCAAATACCATGAAAGCAAAGACAACAATTTTATCAAAGTTAGAGAGCTTCTCAACGTTTTGACCAGGAAAGTAACAGTGATGCCAGGAAGTATTTATTGTCTATTTTACGTAGTTGTGATTATGAACCACATTTGATGCAAAGTTTGACAGTTTATTAAAAAGCTTTCCTACTTTTAGACAGCTAAATAATATCTCAATTACAGCTTCACATTTTCGCGCGCAAGCCCTCTCAATATCAGTGGAAAGGAACCACCCCCCCGGTAACATAATTTTGTTACTGAAAAACCAAACTTGGCCTAGGTATACCAGATAAGTCTTAACTATCTCTAGGAACACAAAAATTTGCCAAATTCTGCAAAATATCCTGAAAAACGGAATTTTTACATTTGGGACATTTTTTTTTATACACCCTGTATTGGACATGCGTGGGTGATTTAGCAACGATGTTTATATATATTAGCATGCATTTTAATTTCTTTGTTGTTGTTTCGTTGCTTCGCCAAATTCCCGGCGAAACTTTGCGAAAACGTTTTTCGCACTGACTTTCCTTTTATATATTTCCAATAGATTCAATCTCATAGCAATGTTGCTTGAAGATACTTGCAGAAACTGCAGCTTTATATTCTTCGATTGTTTCACCGACACGCCTGTTAAACTAAAAGCGTTCGTAGGTTTCATTTGTTTCACCGATAAGAGTCTCTTCAAATTTCTTTATAACTTTAGCTAAATCGTCTTTACCATTCCTAACCGTAGAATGCATTCCTGAAACATTCCCTGCGGTTTGGGTAATTACTGTCAAAAATAATGCGGTAAATAATGCGGCAATATTGCATAAATCTCCAAATGCATCCTCGACGAAATTTTTTTTAGTTAGTCGCCAAATTACCGACTTTCTTAAATACTTAGGCCTATGCGGAATTATTCGCACAGCCATAGGATTTCTAGAATATAAAAATTTTCGCTTTGCGCTCGACTATCACTATGAGACATTGCTTAGTTCGACTGAATGTCTTCCCGAGTAAAACTAAATGCTTTTCACAATCCACCATCTGAAATCCATTCGGTTGTTTAACAAATTACATTTCAAAATATAAGCTTTCTCATGTGAACTTCACAGCTTCCGCGTCCGCTGACGTTATTATGTGGAACTTAGGTTTCGCGGTTGCTACTACGTGCTACCTCAAAACCTCGATTTCCTATGCTATATGATATTACACTATATTAACATTTACATAACAATCCTTTATTAACAATACATATAAAATTTACGACCATAACACTATATATTTGCGCATACTATGTAAATGACTGTTTACTTATATGGTTGGTATACTCAACCATGCCTTAACCTAAATTCGGCAACAGTCGTTAATATTTTTTGTGCAACATATTATGCAGTTGGTGAGCCCCACTTACTTAATAAAAAGCGAGTTTAAGATGCACCAAATCTACGACGCGGACGTGGCATGAAAATTGCTACTACTGTGTGTATAGACAGAGCCACTCCATCACTTCATATGCTCTACAAAGATTATATCATTACAATATACTGGAGTGCGGCAAGGATTGAAACAAAAACATTAGTGAGAAATTTGTGAGTTTTCAGCGTCGTAGCTGGAACCTTAATTGGGGGGGGTGGGTGGTCGGGTATATTCATATATTTGTCTTATGATGACTGATTTCTTTCGTACGCTATTGTTCCTACGATATGCAAACATGATTATATGAATATAAGAAATAAGAGACTGAATGCATGGACATAATAAATATAACAGTTGTTGGCAGGCTGAGGATGGATTTTGTGTTTCACACAACTTTCATTCTGTGGATTTGAATTAAAATTATTTTTTAAAAAATCTGTCATGTGTGGGATTAGGACATTTCAGAAATACTTGTATTACAATAAATATAGGTTAACATTTTTGGTAATATAGAAGATATACGCCCAAGGAAAACTTTTTAGGGAAGTGATTTGAACTAAAAACTAGGTACTTGTACTTCAGGGATATAGCTAGAAGATTAATTGTGGGTGGGGGGATTATATATTCATGTTCAAATAAGCAACCCTGATGTAAATTGAAATATAAACTCTGCAAACGCATATGAATAGTAAATTCTTCATTTCATTTTGACTCTTCGGGCTTCAATTTCATACCAGGGCACATGATGACACAAGTGTAGATGTAAGAATAATAGTTATTGCCAATAAATTATTTATAATATATATCAAGAAAATCTATATTCCTCAGAGTGATAACATTTTTCAATATGACATTCTCAGAAGGAGATAAATGTTGCTATAAAACTTGATATTTTGACCTCTAAGACATCTTGAATACTGGACTGGAAACTTGTAAATAAAAGTTATATTTAACTAGTAAAATTACTAAGGGTGAAGCTTGAGTGAAACTCCTAAAAAACCACACATGTCATTAGTTTGTAATAACATAGCTGAGTTTCTCATTTGGATATTACTAAAGTAAGAATGGTATTAATAATGATCATGAAATTTTGACTTGATACAGAAGTGTGTTGTTGTTGGACAGAATGTAATTATTTTCAAAACTGATCAAAAAACTTAGCAAGCAAATAGAACTAATTCCTTTTTAATTTATTTAAACCAACCTAATCCCAGGTTGACGATCTTGTCAAGATCTTGCAAGATCTTGCAAGATCTTGAAAGATCCTGAAAGATCTTGCCAAGATCTTGGAAATAATAAGATCTTGGCAAGATATTTATAAGATCTTGGCAAGATGTGAAGATCTTGGAAATTCTTGGCTGAAATCTTGTATCCTCTTGCCAAGATCTTGGCAAGATTTTGATACGAATATCTAGATATTGTATTAAAATAAATAATATGTAATTAGAACAAAAATCTTCTCATGCAAACAAGCTATTGTTCTTATAAACATTGGAGTTCATTAAACCCTTGATTTTGATACGATCTTGCCAAGATCTTGGTATGATCTTGCCAAGATCTTGGTATGGTCTTGCTGTATATGATCTTAGTGTGATCTTGCTAAGATCTTGGTATGATCTTGCTAAGATCTTGGTATGATCTTGCTAAGATCTTGGTGTGATCTTGCCAAGATCTTGGTATGATCTTGCTAAGATCTTGGTATGATCTTGCTAAGATCTTGGTATGATCTTGCTAAGATCTTGGTATGATCTTGCTAAGATCTTGGTATGATCTTGCTAAGATCTTGGTATGATCTTGCTAAGATCTTGGTGTGATCTTGCCAAGATCTTGGTATGATCTTGCTAAGATCTTGGTGTGATCTTGGTAAGATCTTGGTATGATCTTGCAACATATGATCTTAGTGTGATCTTGGTAAGATCTTGGTATGATCTTGCCAAGATCTTGGTGTGATCTTGCTACGATCTTGGTAGATCTTGCCAAGATCTTGGTATGGATTTTGGTATGATCTTGCTAAGATCTTGGTATGATCTTGACAAAATGTTGGTGTGATATTGCTAAGATCTTGGTATGATCTTGCTAAGATCTTGGTATAATCCCCGTGATCTTGCCAATAATCCAGCATTATCTTGCCAAAACTTCACGGCGATCATTCCAAGATTTCATGGTGATCTTGTCAAGATTTTACCGTGATCAAGCAAGGATTTTACGGTGATGGAAGATTCTTCAATCATCTTGCATGGACAAATCTTATGGAGCAAGTTTCTTGCTTGCCAGTTTAATTTCATTATCACATTCTAAGTACCACGAACGTCAATAATCACAGCTGGTATCAATTACATTCGTGCACGCTATGGTTAAATTGATAACATACCTCGCCTGCGGCGGCACATATTTTGAAATTTGAATATTTTGAAATTTGAATATTCACGCCGTTGCTACCGTTGGCGCAAAGGCGCAAGAAGCACGGATTTACAAATCAACACACATAAAGTACCATTCGAAAGCCAAGTAACATACAGATGGTTCTACACTGAAGTGAATTAGTTTTGGTATGAAAAGAAGCGGAGGAATAACTTGTAACAACGGGTAAGTGGTTTAGTATAAACACGATAAAATTAACCCTTTACTGCGGATTTGTATGCTGGTAGCATAAACTGGTTTTGACTTATAGTTTTAGTTACATTTAAAATGGTACAGGTTTACCGCCAGTAGTGAAGGAAACGGGCCACACTATCTCGTAATATAGCATTTTCATTATCGTGAAACTATAGGACTATAAATGCAAGATGTAGTTTAGCGTTGGCTGGACGCGGGATTGTCATTCAAATAAAGCCTTCATTATTTTAAACATTCGAGCCCGACAAGGACTCACTTCTTCTCATTGGATGCATTATGAATATTGGTAGGTTTACATAATTACGGAAAATTCACAAAAATTTTCATAGCAAAGAAGATTCGCGATGTTCATGCATTCTCAAGTTATTTCAGAACTTTTCTTGAAATCAGAAAATATAACAAAATAACAGGTTGTAACAAAATAGGGCATAAAGCAGAAATGATCTATTATGGCCATGTATCATGATTTTAATGATCAACTATTCTTCTAGTGGCACAACCGTATTAACTTGATGAATATCAAAGCCATCAAAGTGCGCAATCAAATTGCTGAGCCACATCTTCACTGAAGGCTGAAGCTGAGATGCATGTCAGAATCCTATGTGACAGAGTCCAGCAAGCAACATTTGGTTGCCAAAACAGTCAATAAATTGTTTGGTAAGAAGTTATATTATGCTGATCAATGCATGTCCAATAAATTTACCTAAATTCATGGCAAGGTCTTAGACGCAGAGTAAAATATATGCATACAGCATACAATGTTTTATAAGACAATATTTTTTTTCCATTTAGATGTACTCATGCAATATCAAGTTTGGCGAGGACAGGGTAAAAAAGTCACAATCACACCAAGAATACCAAGTGATCATGGATGCTTTACATAGGCAGAAATATGAAGAAAGAAAAATGGAGGAAACATGAAGAGATGTAATAAACACCACAGTGATAAAACAGAACAGTAACAAAACAATACTTTGATATAAAGTTTTTGCATGCCCTTAATGTAACCAAACGTTAATAAAGTTTTTTTACTGCAACAGAGTGTATCTATGTTTTTTCCCTAATCAATCTAGATCTTGCCATGGTTTTGCAGGATCTTGCCATGGTTTTGCAGGATCTTGCCATGGTTTTGCAGGATCTTGCCATGGTTTTGCAAGATCTTGCCAAGATGTTTCAGGATCATGGAAAGGTTTTGCAAGATCTTGCCAAGACATTCCAAGATCATAAAGGTTATGCAAGATCTTGCCAAGATGTTTCAAGATCATGGAAAGGTTTAGAAAGATCTTGCCAAGATGTTCCAAGATCATGGAAAGGTTTTGCAAGATCTTGCCAAGATGTTCCAAGATCATGGAAGATCATGACAAGATCATGGCAAAAATCTTGCAGGATCCTGCAAGATCATGGCAAGATCCTGTAAGATCTTGGGAAAATCTTGACATGATCTTGCAGGATTTTTGTAAGATCTTGGAAAGATCTTGGCAGGATCTTGTGTAAGATCTTGCGAAGATCTTGTTAAGATCTTGCCAAGATTGTCAACCTGGGATACCCCAGGCTGTATAGTTACTGTACATGTCTGAATATAAATATGTACACTGAGTCACTGACTAATAATAAATGCATCAATTCACACTTGCACAATTAATACCTTTCATGATTGCTCTCATATTTGTATTTTTTATATTTAATAGTTAAATTCCCTTTCCATAGATCTTAGATATTCACACATTCTTTACTCTGGGGAAATACTGTTGACTAAAACTGTGTAATTCATCAATGGTAGAGTTTAAACTGTTTAAATCTACATCACAATTTGAACATAGTGATCAGGGGCCAGTTGTTCGAAAGGTGTTTAGCTTAAACGGTGGATAAGTTCAAAATGGAAAACAAAACTGTATATTTATTGAACAACTGAGCTGAAATATTTTGATGTAAATAGCTTAATTGTCAATGGAAGTACATATTTAATGCATAAGATGCAAATTTAGTCATTCACAAGATGTATGAGAGTAATTTTAAACTTTGGCTTATCCACCGTTTAAGCTAAACGCCTTTCGAACAACCGGCCCCAGGCAACTATTTACATGCTTATTATATCTCTGTCCAATTTGGACAAATATTATTAAAGTTTATAGAAAACTTCACCCCTCAAAATTCTCTCTGGCACACCTGAGACTCTGTAGTTATGAGCAGCATTTACACTCCAGTCTAGAAACTTGTTTTCCAATGTCGTATTGTGCATAAACTATATCATTACATTACTTGATATTACAACATTGCTCTTATACGAAACACAATATGAACAATGTGTCTTTTAGGAACAATTCATGCAAAAACATGCAAAGGTTTGGGGGCAGCAATTTAGTGCTTTCTTATGTATTATTTGACCAACCAAAGTCCACAGGTCTGTAATCAAAACAATTAATATAAGATTGACCCTGAAAAGAAGACCATTGTCTTTCATTTGCTAATGTATGAAGAAAAAAACAAACATTACATGACACACAGTTACACAAAATGACTGAGACATAACTATTAGTCTAAGCATCATGTGTGTATTTGTCATCAGTTCATCTAGTGTTGCTAATATATTGTTTTTTCTATTAAACATTTGAAATATTTATGATGAATTGATAAACTTATTGATAAATATTTAATGTTGTAGTTACCAGTATATATTACAGTACCAACTACCAAGTCTGTGGGGAATATTGCAAAATTTAGTACCAAATTGACTTACGCTTATTTTATAAAAATAATCAACAGATCGCAAGTTGAAAAGCGAACTCACCTGTTTCAGTACACGTTAGTCAACTTTTCGCAAGCAAATTTCAGCGAAGATTGTTCACAACTTGGCATCTTCTCGACGGATTTTTATCGCCATTAACGCCCAGATCGTCATGAAATTTCGTCGTTTTGTAGTGACGAACCTTCTCGCAATTTTCCAAAGAAAGCAAACATTGATGGACACGAAATGATGTTAAAAATCCGCCGATTCTTCTCGCACGAAATTCACGGCACAAACGGCAGCCATTTCGTTCGAAAGCAACTTTGCATATTCCATCGTCATGCAACAGATTACAGAAGTTTCATATCTGTATATAGCTAATCTGTGCCATGCTTAGCGCGCCTAGTGCTAAAAGGGAAGAGGTCTATTAAAATGTATATTTTTATAAAGTTAGTAAGCTAAATCTAGCCTTCATCGCTCATCCCGTTCAACTGAGCAGTCTGATCTCAGTTTAGCCTAAGTTTTTAGGTAGTTTGGCGCGTACTTTCTTTTTTCTCAGCGCAAATTATTGACGATTTTGACGCATAATTCGTTGTGAAATTTTAGCTGTCCGACGCAAAATATTTCGACATTCCATACTGGCAAATTGCACAAATAAATATACACTGTAAAAACAATCAAAACAAAGTAATACCTTTTTATTTCAAGTACAACAGATCTGATATCAGAAATCTATTAAACGACGATTTTTCCAGAAGAAATATCAGGGTTTACTTCGGTATTTTGATCACAAAGATATTACGTTGTAAATTGTTAGTTTTGCTTTGTATAAAATCCTAAATATATGTGGAGCTCACTGAGCGCATATTATGGTAAATGGTAATATCACACCGCAATATGGCGGCTGCCAAAGAGTGCGCTAAAGCCTAAATCGTCAAAGCGGTCATCACAACAACGGCTTTCCTTGGAGGCTAGTTTAGAAAACTTACGGGAGTTAACCGGTACAATAGAGAAAAAAAAGTCCCCAAAGCAGAGCGACTTCTTCCTCACGTACGATAGCAGTGGTAAAAGAGTACGTGATTCCAAATTACAAATATTTACCGCTCTGTTGCTGAACGCAAAAACGCAAAAAGCGCGCTACTTCTGGCCAAACTAGTAGTGTCACTGGTAAGTTAATCATAATTTTTTTATATAAATAATTATTGTATTTTTCGAGAGCGACGACGTTGACCTTTGCCCATTTGAATGAGATAGTGGTTTTGATTTTGACATCATTAATGAAGAATCATCTGATGCTTGTCTACAAAAAAGTTAGTCTCATCCCTATATACCGTGATGTTTCATTCATTACTACTTCTTATTACGACTACTCAACGCTGGCGTGCAAGCATTACTGTGCTATTTATATTTATAATTTGTAGAAAATTTGACCACCTGTACAGTCAATTGTGAAAGTTTGACCCAAGAGATGAAGTCCAGTACCCAGTCCATGTGGACAAGAAGAATGCAGTCTATGGATGTTGCATGGGAAAATAGTAGATCTGCTATATTTGCTGCTGTTTTAAAAAGTCATGCAATTCCTAAAAATGGGGCTGTTTGCTTCATGTGCAGAGAAGACAGAGGTGTTGTTCGGTGATGCCACTGTGGACCAGATGCATTACTCTGTAATAATTGTGATGAGACAGCTCATGAGATAAAACCTGTGCATCATGACCGTGATGTTTGGATAAATGGATTTTATCAACCAGTTCCTCCAAATGAAATTGTCCTGCCAAATAGATCCACAGGCTTCAACAGTAAGTGATTATTGCACATTAAATAATTCAAAAATTATCATTGGTTGTTCAGATGCTGACTATATTCTTGATATTTTTGTTCCAGAGACTATGAAGTATATCAATTATAAATATTGCTTTGCATGCATTTATTTTTTCATACAATCATTTCAGGTAAACTACAAGTACTGGTTCAGTAATCTTATACTGTATAAAATAGACTGATTATTACATTTTTTACAGGAAGATATGCTCCATTTTTATTTTGTAAAGAATGTATTTATTGCAAGGGCCAGGATACACTTTCTATCTCTAATGAAAGGTGCATTCTTATAACAGCCAAAGGTACGAATTTAGCTGTATAGTGTACAGTAGTGTGCACTACATCATGTGCACTAAAATTGTACTGACTATCAGCTTATCTTGATTTGCAATTGAAGATTCTATTTGTATTTATTCACATAAAGTTGCACTGGATATGATCAACAGTTCTCACCATTAACACTGGAGAAGACAATTAATGAAGGGTATTGGCCAGGTGGCCCAAAGAATCTTAATTACATCTTCTGTGAAGATGTGTTCAGAGTTTGGGATTCACTGCGAGAATACATGTGACAGACACATCTGAGACAGCATTTCTGAAGTCCTTGGCCTCCATATCTAGTGAAAAGAACAGGGTTAGTAAATCATACTTAGGTCACTGTACATAGATTTGTACAAATCATAAATGAACAATTAGCAAATAAGAGCTGTACCAGATATATGTCAAAAGCCAGATGTGTACCATTGTAAAGCATCTGCTCAATCAAATTTTGTACCTGAAGTGGTCTAAAACTGTAGATAATCTTATTCATAAATTTTAGTCAGCCATCATCAACACATCAGTGTTTCATCCTGCATTCAAACAATGGTGTTTTGCCTTGCATGAAGTTGACATCTTACAGGAAAAACAATGGGCAAAATGCCCATCATGTTTTAGATCCCAACATTCGTGTCATGTTGATGAAAACGTTAAACTTTATAGATACAAAAGTGTGCCAAGGTATCGTGTTGTTGCCTGGCTAAAATCACACTGACCAAATGTCCATGATTTATATAATTTGCTTATGGAGGTGAAAGAAAATGCTATTATGAAAATACATTCATTGAGGATGATGAACTGGTAGAGGAGCACTTGAACAATGTTTATTCCAAAAACTCAGCTAAGGTATGATCATGATTGTGAGGAATTATGGAGAGTTGTGCAATGATACCAGTTTTGTATACAATAATAATAATTATACCAAAACTGCATAAGAGTGATATACTTATAAATCATATTTAATCCTCCCAGGGTCTTTCAAGTAATTGCTATTGTGGTTCTTCTCATTGGAAAGCTGCAAGGAATACGGTCAACCGTCAATCCAAACTAGATGAAACTGGTCTTGTTGTAACAGGCTGTAGACATTCTCTGGCTCAATCTGCTGTAAATATGCATTAAGGTGAACTGTATGGATACACACATTATTAATTTGCAGATCAACCGACTAATTCACCATAATGTTAAGTTCTTATCGCAAGATGTGATTTGTAAGTACTGGCCTTGGTTTATTTCGCTTCCAA